TGCACAGGAGCTCGTATTTGCATGGCAAGAAGGGAAATATTTTCATTTTCTTGATCAATACAAAATCACAAACTTTTACAAACCTTGTTTCTAAAACAAGAAACCAAAGCAAGCAGAAGGGTAAAATGGTTCCTTCTGAATTTGCTGGCCATGACATTAATTTGCCAGCATATTGCATTAATTAGGTCAAACCAACCACACTTGAACACACACACTAGTTAATTATTGTTACTATTGCCGGACAGGGAGAGCCTGAGGCAAGGCCTCATGAGCCGACATGGTCTGCAACTTGCAATCAGCTGCTGAGATAAACTGAGCATTTTCTTCCGTGGCAATTGTGTTGATGAGGTTGAGCAGAATATGCTCAAGCTCCTCCCCATCAGTCCACTCATGGATGTCAGCTTTGATGAGCAATGGGTCCTTGCAGATCAGGTCAAACAGTGGGAAGTTCTTCCTTGGCATTACAAAATCTACTTCCTTGAGCTTCAAGCTTGGGCAATAATCACCACTGCCATCTCCAAGATAGATTATCTTCTTCTTGCCTTCACTGGAGAGATAAGTCTGGACTCTTTCAATGACCACACCCTGTAATTATTTAATGTAGAATATAATTAAAATCATGATTAATTTTTAATTAAGAGTTTATTGTTTAATACTCATGAAGTATGGGAAATACTGAGCTCATGTCAAATCCTAGACTAGGACATTCCAGACTGGGGATCACAACAGTTCAAGGATATGTACAAAATGTCCTAATCCTTTTGGAATTGGGTCCAACAGAGAAGTTGGTGTCTTGATTCCAACTTTTGAAGGAAAAAAACAAAAACATGCGTATATATTTATATATAATATTCTCAAAATTGTGAGTTCATTTATAAAGAAAAAAAAATATAATATACCTTGCACATGTTGGGAGGGCAGAGACTGCAGCCATGAGAGCATTTGATGAAATCATGGTGAGGAGAAATCCTAAGCCTTCCTTGTTCATCCACATAGCTAGGGTTGGTGTTGATCTCTGAGAAATACTCCTCCAGCCCAAGATGCTTCAAGATTGTCTCAATAAAAAACAGATTTGCATCGCTAACAATCTTCAAATCACACCTGCAGCCACCAAAACCAAAAACCCACCACAAAATTAATTATATTTCTTCCGATAATTAAGTCCATGGGATAAAAGTTTTTTTTTTTTTTTTTTTTTTTAAGAAGGAAGAAAATATATACTGATGGAGGGTTTTGACACATACCCTAAAGCATGGGCTGCTTTAATTGCTGGGACGACTCTAGGATGAATTGGAGTTCGTTTCAGAACCTCTACAATGTCTTCAGCGGTTTTTCCTTGTGAATGAAGCTCCTTCATCATCCTATCCTGCAAAATATTTTGTCCAAAAAGAAACACATTTTAAGTCTCTTGAAACCATAGAATATATTTTTTCTCTTTCTATTTTTTTCACATGAAATGAAACCATATGTTATACATAAGAAAAACAACGCCAGTGGGGTATAGCTCGGTCGATTGAACTCTTCCACCTCTACTCATGTGGGTGGAGGTTCGAAACCCCCAAACGGCCTATGAATATTCGTGTAAACCCTCCCCCAATTCTTGTACTAAAAAAACAACATGAAACTAAACAGGAACATATTAATTATACAAAGAAATCTAAAACATACCATGAGAGAGTTCCAAGGCATGGTGGGCAGAAGTTGATTGAACAAATCAGTTGCACCCAACTCATCGACCACCCAATTATCACTATCACACTCGATAATGGTCTTGTCAAAGTCAAAAACAACCACAATTCCAGCCATTGATGAAATTCTCTGTGAGGATGAAAAAAAAAATGTTACCCAAAAAACACAAGCAGAAGAAGCACAAGAGTTCTTGGTTTATTTGCAAGTGGAATGTAGAGAGAAGGCAAGAGGGTATATTTATAGCAACCCAAGTGTGTGAATTTGGTGAGTTTTATTAGGATTTGGATTGCAAGCTAATACTTGTTAGGTGCGTTGTGGGATTTTGGCCGTTGGATCCGATGACATTTACATCGGTGGAAGATCGGAGGGTGGAGAGGGGAGGAGATATAATGAAATAAAACGCGGGAATATGAGAAATATTCCAAGGGAATTGAACCAGCTTTAAAACGCACTTGGCAGTAACTAGGGGGAATATTCCTATTTTTCCTAATAATTTTGTGGCTGCTAAGTGGTAAAGCTTTTGGGTGCGTCACAGTCCGCCTCTAACACTAGGGCTCTTTTGTCTATTTTAATGGACCTAAATAACCTCGTTAACATGTACAAGGGTTTCTATACCCCTCCAAAAAAAAAACTTAAATCAATTAAATTCTTTAAAAAAAGCCTTCACTTGCAGACTAGGTCACAAGTTTGAATCTTCATGGCACTTTGATAATAAGTGTGAGAAACCTCCTCCCCTTTATAGTTTAGACTATTACTTGTATTTAAAAATTAAAAAATATATATAAATAGATGAATGATGCCCCAATTATATAATTAAAAAAACTTATAAATAGATTAATTGGACTTTAGAAACACACTCAAAGCCCATTTACAACATTATAAAGAAGCTTCGAACTTCCTATAAATTACAAAACTGTCATCAATTTCTTAAAATAAGCTCAACCCGAAAACTTCATAAGAAAACTTTCAATGAATATATAACTAGTGCATAGAATGAATATATCACTAGT